CTGTTGCTGCTGCTGCTGCTGGCACCACTGCCTGCCCACTCCTGCACACTCGGTGTGAAGCCTGCTGTGGCCATGGGCTTCAGTCCCAGCTGGTGGCAGCTCTCCTGCAAATCGCCCTCAGTCCTGGCTCCCTGTGTCACCCTGCCCTTCTGCTGTGGAACTGTTTAACTGATATAATTAGAAGAAGTTAAGTGGGTAATTCTTAAAATTTATAAAACATTTCTATTGGGGATTATATAAGATTCATGTCAACCGTTTTTAGGTCCTTCCAGTGGCAGTTTCTCACCTGGTGGATTTGCTCAAAAGTCTGCTCCTTCTCAGAAACCAGGCAGTGGTCAGTGGCAAAAGAACAAACCACAAACTACTGGTACTTCATGGCAGCCCCAGGCTAAACCACAGCAAACTAAACCCAGTGCCCAGGCTAAGCCCAACTATACAATGAACTTCAGTGTTATTGGAGGGCGAGAAGAAAGAGGTATTAGAACTCCTTGTTTTGGTAAGTGCTGTTCCCTGAAATTTTAGCTATCATTCATTGTGTATGAAATTGTTGGGCTATCTTCTACCTACCAGCTTGCCCTTATGGTTTTATGAAAACTGAAAAGATGACTGAAAGATGACTTTTAGTGCTGTTAAAAACTTTATAGTGGTATGTATTGAATTACCTCTTAATAGTAACACAAATTAAATAAGCAGTAGTTTTAAAACCCATTTTTTTGATTGTCCCTTGTCTCTCCAAACTTGCTAGCAGACATTAACACAGCATGGAAGCCAGCTTGTCAGAATGTGGCTCAGTAAGTAAGAGTGGGAAATACTCTGGCTCACCTAGTGAGGCAGCTTTATGCTTAAACCACTGACAATGTTGCTTGCTCTCAGGCAACCTGGATTCTTAGACTTATTAGACATTTCTTCACATCATTGTGGTTTGGATGGCTTGGAAGTGCAGTCCTAAGTGTTTAGACCAGGGTCGGGCAAAATATGGCCTACAGGCTGCATCTGGCCTGCCAGGCCATTCTACACAGTCTGTGGGGCTCCTACAAATTTTAGAGAATTTAATATTCATCTGCCCGGGCTGCCTATCAAAGATGACAAGGCACCAGGGGCAGTAGGACCCAGGGAAAGCTGGTGGCAGGACCCAGTAGCCACAGCAAAGCCAACCCAGCCTTGCCCTCACCCCCAGCCAGAAGCTTCTGCCTAACACAGGCTTCTGGCCTGGGGCTGTTCACACTTCCCTCCACTCAAGAGGGAAACTCAGAAGAACAGAGGGAGGGGAGGACCAAAGGTGATCACCGCAGTCCTTGCGGCTGGGCCAGCTCCTGCAGTCCTGGCACTGCAGCTGGGGAAACGCATGGTGTCAGAGCACATGTGGGGGTGAGGAGAATGGCAGCAGGCTGGGAAGAGGGGATTGGCAATGGCAGGTGGTGGACAAGTGGCCACAAGCAGGCATGTGGGACCTGTGCCAGTATACTGGGGCCAGTGCCAGCAGGGGCCCAGAGCGGGGCGGCAGGATTGCAGGGCCTGCACCGGCAGGAGCTCTGGAGCTGGGCCAGATTGTGCCAGCAGGGAAAGGGGGGAGCCGGCCTGGCTCTAGAGCCCCTGTGGACTCAAGCCCCACACTCCTGCCGCCTTGCTGTAGGCCCTGTTGGTGCTGGCCCCAGGCCACCAGCATGGACCTCATGCTCCTGCCTGCGCACCTGCTTGCTGCCAGTCCCCCACCTGCTGCTGCCTTACTTCCTGGCCTGCCACCACTCTTCCCACCCCCTGCCTGCTGTTCTGGCACCATGTGATTCCTGGCTGCAGCACTGGGCCACAGGACTCGGAAGGAGCCAGCCTGGCCGCTGTGATTCTTGACTGGTTTTGCTGTACTGGCTGCCCTGGGCTGGCTCCTGCTGCATCCTGTGGTCTCAGGCATGCAGCTGGGATGTGGTGCTGGAGTGGCAAGCTGGGGGAGATGGGGAAGGGGAAGCGGCAGGAGAAGGGCAATGGTAGCAGACGGGAGGGGGAAGTGGCGGCAAGTGGGAGCATAGGGCCTGGGCCAGTGCCAGGAGTGGTGGGAGCGTGGAGCCCAGGCTTAGAGGAGCGCTGGCAGGGCCTCTGCTTGCCACAGGGGGAGATCTGTGGGCAAACCCTCCCTCTCCACACATGCCACAATCCTCCCCAGCCACACTCCCCTCCCTCCCCCATACCTACCTACCTACCTACCTACCTACCTACCTACACCCTATATCTTCCCTCCCCCGCACGCACGCACAAAATACAAGAGTAAGACATAATTTTAAGCTATTATACAATTGCTTCTGTGTACACTACACAAACACGTAAATCAGGACAATATATATTTTTAAATTAAATTAATGTTGTAGTACACAATTGGTTTTTAGAATATAATTTGGTATTTTTTTCTGGTTCTGAGGTGGCAAACCCCCTTGCTGAAAGGAGTACTTCTGGGTGCAAAGGGAGGGATTTTGGTGACAAAGGTCAGGGGTTTGGGTGGGGGATGGGGACACAGGACTTCCAGTCCCAAGATGGTGACCAGGGGGTGGGGCACCTGTTAAGGGGTGGGGTTACCCTTGTGGCCCTTGATGGCTTGCCAGAATTTGGTAAGCGGCCCTCCACCCAAAATAATTGCCCACCCCTGGTTTAGACTGCATCTGTAAATCTGAAATATCGCTTTGAGGGGGAGAGAGGCAATGAGGTTATTTTCAGCTCACTTGTCCTGAAGACAGCCTGCAATACACCTTTGTCCTGTTTTTGTGTAGTATTAATTGCTAGGTTCAATGGCTCTTTCAGAAGGATGTCTTCCCTTTGGTAACAAATTTTATGGTATAGTGATATATCCTAGATTACCCTCCTAGCTTGGGGTCTAGCTGTGGCTGTATGGAGCTAATGTGTGAAGCTTACAGCAAGCTGATTTGCCCTTCTAGAAAGCCCGTGAGGGTCTTGGATGTCCTGTAAGAAAGGAACACAATTCAGGGAAATCTAATTCCATCACCTAATCTCTCCCCACTGCCCAAATTGGTTGGAGGTTTCTCTACCCATGAACATTGCTGTACTACTACGTTCCTCAAATTGTAGCTAAGGATTATGATCATGTTTGGAACTTTACTTTCAGAGGCACTTCATTTTCAGATGTGACTTCCATCTCAGGGCAGTATGTTGACCACCTCTGCCACAGTAGGATGCCTAGTAAATATCTTTATCACTTTTTTTTCCCCCCTTCTGTTGCATAGGACAAAAGCCAAAAGTTTCAGAAAATGATTTTGAGGATTTGTTGTCCAATCAAGGATTTTCAGCTAAATCAGACAGAAAAGGACCAAAGACCATTGCTGAAATGAGAAAGCAAGAAATGTCCAAAGATATGGATCCCCTGAAATTAAAGGTTTGATGTTTAATAGAGTAACTGTGATTCAAATGTACTTTTACCCCATTGTCTTAGCAATGTTGATAGTGGAGCAAGGGGGGGAATACACTGAAGGATAAAACCTTGAGTAGCAAACTAGTGGAAGAAACTAAGGAAAATTTTACATATATCTTTCAATGGTGGGAAAGAACTAAAAGGAATTTAATTTTTCATCACATCATTGTATATGCTGCTTGATTAGCCTGAGCAAGTATGCTCGAGTAAAATCTATGTAGGGGGGAGAGAAACTTGTTGAGGACAGAGGGTTTCAGATATCAGGGCTGGTAAAATCATCAAGTGTGGGTGAAAATTTTAAAGGAACAAAGAGAAATGTTGTGCAGTGGATGTTACTGCACAGGTCATTTCCACCAAAAGAGGTGGTCAGCACTCCTAGAAAGGACTCATTAGAAATGACTGTAAAAGGATTCCAAAAAGTCCAATTGACAGATGGATGAAAAAAAGAAAGCAGTGAGCAGAAATGCATGAACAAAGTCAAACATGGAATATAGAGCAAGAAGACTGAGGATAAGAAGGTACTGAGGAACAGAATTACCAATGTAACAACCAAAAACCAACTAAATAGAAGCAATAACCAGTTCCAACATGCTAGACTCTTACTTAAGTTTTATATCTAATGTAAGAGTTTCTTCCCTCACTAAGTAGTAGGAAAAGATCTTTTGGTTTCTGAATAAAAATTCACAAGCCAAAAAGTATCACTCCTGTTCCCTATGAGCATGAATGCTGTTGGTGCAGTATAGGATAGGGTCATGGGGCCCACTGGCCCTATACCCAATGGGACTATGTCATACAGACATGAGCTTACCCAGTCTTTACACATGGCTGTAGTTTCTCAGTTCTTGCCTGCCACATCTTGATGTCAAACTAGTTATTGTTGACAGAGATATAGCCAAAGTAAACTGTTAAGAAGTGGGTCTGGATCTTCTTTGGGGTTCCAACCTCCCTTACACCCCATCCTAGCACCACTCTGTTGGTAACATGACCTTTCCACCCTTGTTCTCTATGGGTGGTAGTCTTCAGTCCAATTTACAACGAAAAATGGTGTCTAACTTTATAGATGGAGCAGGACCCAAGGAAGTCTTGTCAAGTAGAGTCCTTGCTCCTACACGCTGAGCCTGCCAGTCAGGAAGTGGCTCAGTCTTGGGCTTGTGGGTCTTACTTCGCTGCCCAACCCTCGTGAAGAAGTTAGTTGGACTAAAAAAGAAAATGGGCCAGGCCCTCCAGGCCGCCTACTGCCTGCAGCTTGGGCACTTCTGTGTCTGTTCAGGGATGACCTTAGTGGCACCTACCGCCTTCCCTGGTGCATCAGGGTAGTCCTCCCACCCTCCACTACTACGTTTCTAGTGAGCCTGAAGCCTGACTCTCTTGCCAGCTATTTGTTGCTGGTAGTGAGCCCTCAGCTCCCCTTTCCCTCTGGTTTCCAGGGCTTTAAAGCAATAAAAGGAAAAAAACCAAAGTAAACAAACAATTGTGCAGGGTGCTGCCGGCAGTTCTGATGGCCAGTTCCTCTGGCCCATCTTCTTGTCGTGTTTACTGCCTTCCCCGTTGCCCCAGCTTCCTTAAACTGTTGGAGCCCCTCTGGGCTCCTGGGACTTAGCTTTCTCAGCCCCGCTGGCTCTGCAGCTGTCCAGCAAGCATCTGTGTCTCTCTCCCTCAGCGCTGGCAGCGGGCCAGCAAACCCCCATGCTGCCTTGGGCAAGGCCATACTTGATCCAGCAGCTGCTTGTGAACCAGGCTGGTCCCCTCTTGCTCCCCATCGTGGGTTCCAGCTGTGTCCGTGATTCTTCCCTCTCTGCAAATTTGGAGGGGTTTGTTTTTATTTCTTTATAAATGCCAGCTACTAATTTTAAGTTACCACCGCTAGTATTAGTAGAAGAAACGGATCATAATTTTGTAACATGAAGATTACCACACTACTTGGCGCTAACTCAAGATGGTATACCGACTGAAATCAAGTCGGTGAATTACTCAAATTGATTCAAATCTAGTGCAAAATGAGATCATTTGCACATAATTTTTAGTCACTTTGTTTTTTGAATAGTTTGCAATTCCTGTAATATCTAAATTAAGAACTACTTACAAGCCAGCTAGCTTTCCAGTGGCAGTTGTGAAAGCCAGAGATGACAACCCAACAACAAGGATTTCTAGCTACATGATCAGCTGATTTAAGAGCATATTTGCTAAGTTCTCTGAAGTTTTTTTCAAAACAATGCAGTTAGGCCAAACTTTATATCCTTGCACAAAGTAATGGGAGAAGAACATTATCTACAAGCAGATTTAAAGTGCCCTTTACCCCTAGTGTATTCAGTTAACATTTTTTTTTCTAATTTTCTTTCTAGATTCTAGAATGGATTGAGGGAAAGGAGAGAAATATAAGGGCTCTGATATCCACTCTTCACACTGTTCTTTGGGAAGGTGAGAATAGGTGGAAGCCAGTGAGCATAGCTGATCTAGTTACCCCTGAACAAGTAAAGAAGTACTACAGGAAAGCAGTACTTGTAGTTCATCCAGATAAGGTGAGTATATTGGGTATATTCAAGGCTATTTCTGAAATAGTTATTGACCATTGTAAATCTACAGTGTTAAAAGGAAAATCAGCAAAGCTTAGTGATTGGTGGCAAACCCATTCAAACACTGCAAACGCTAATGGGGAAAGGTTTTTATATGGTCTGAGACCAATAGGCTACATGTAGTAAAACCAAGTTTTAACTTCATGTCACTTTGATGTTTTGGAGAAGTACTTTTCCAGTAAACAACTATTTGTGCTGAATTCTGGGGATCTGTCAGATGACAGCATCCAACCATGGAGGTTAGATGAAAGGAAAAGGTCCCCAGTAGGTGAACTGAACAGTGGTGGCAGCAGTAGCTACATACCACTCTTTCTGTGGCCAGTCAGGATTGAAATAGCCTCTTCCCTTCACAAAGGAGAACTAAGAACTACGTTGACCATTGCTTCACATTATTTGTTGTTGGACTGTTATCTTGACAAACTGCTTTCACTCTTTTCTCCATATTCTGGGTCTTGTCTTCTGAATTTGGCACATTGGTATCCCTGGACAGTACACAGTCTCTCAAATTTACTTTCTGTTTGCACCTTCAGGACACAGGTGAAGTATCTCACTTCAACTGTCAGTAAGAATATGTACTGATGACTTTGGGCAGTTTGCACCTCTCAGGGCCTCAGTTCTAGGCTGTGTACATATACAGAAGGGTGAATGTATCTCTCATTGTTCACTCAGATTTTCAGATATTTTTTTTTAACATCCACAGAGGCTAGGATTAAGGAGGTTCCTTTTTAAATGAAACTTCAGATGTTGGCACATAATCCTGTAGCACATTTTGCTGTTGGAGGATATATAGGGCTCTATTTTTTTTTTAGGTGCAGCTGAACCAAATGAGTTAATTGGGAAGGTGTTCTGTCTGCAGTGTATCATTCCTGTGCAGAAGATTCCTCAGACCTATTTTAGACTGAACTCCTTATTGAGACACAACTTCTTATTTTTGTGCAATTAATACTGAAGTTTAGGGGCTTTCATAGTTGCAACTGAATGTTCTATCAGAAAAACTTGGCTCTAGTGTAAAAGGATTTAATGCCATTCTTGGAAATAACCCTTAACTTTTTTTTCCCTTTGTGCTAATGCAAGAGCTGCCATAAGTAGCTTCTAGAGCAGGGGTGTCAAACTTGATCCAGACTGTAGGAGCTACTCCCAGGCCAGTTTTGTACGGCCCTGTGGGTCTGGCCCTGGTGGCAGCTGGGTCCAGGGGTATGCTGCTGCATGGAGTTGTGCTCGTGCAGTGTGGAGCCATAGGCGTGTGTAAAAAAAGGAGTTAGGGCATGGGGAGGCACAGAGCTCTAGCCAGGCAGTGGCATGGAGCCATGGATGTGCAGTGGTACAGAGCCAGTGGCAGTATCAAGAGTGCACGGTAGTGCAGAGCTGAAGGGCAGGGAATTTCTAGTAGCCCACCAGACTACCAGGCCATTGTTTGATGCCCCTGTTCTACAGAGAATAAACTTTGAATTTTTAGGAGCTCCCAACTGAAAATGAAAATTATGTTGTCTGGCAATTCCTCTAAAATGAGAGACTTGTTTTAAGTACAACATCAATTACAGTGAGTAGATTAGATTTAAAGATTTGAAATAATACAAGCAAACTTACAAACTGTTGATGCTGTTTTAGAATATGACTTTTGAACATATGAAGACATTCATGGGAGGGGAGGAAGGGAGATGCTTTTCTGTTTGTTTGCAAAAAGCTACACATTTATAGCATACTAACAAAGGTAAACAAAGTTTCTGTTATATGAAGTGTGTATCCAATGCACTAGTCCTAAACCTGACAGGAGGGTGAGATTTTTTTATTATTGGTACAGCAACTACTTTCTTTCAAGCCCTGCTTTTAGTTCTTAGTGTCTTTTGTTTTCAGTCAGCCTCTCATACATTTCCTTGTTCACAGGCCACAGGACAGCCTTATGAGCAGTATGCCAAAATGATCTTCATGGAGTTGAATGATGCATGGTCAGAGTTTGAAAACCAAGGATCAAAATCGCTTTTCTAAAAATTCACCTTGCTGTGATTTTCAAAATGTATTTGCTACAGAATGGAGTCAAGCGCTGGTAGTCTGACCTTACTGTCTCTGGGATTTAGGAAAGATCTTGTTTTGTATGACTTCAGCAGTGTGTGAAATCATACACTTAAATATGGAGATGCGTTTTATAAGATGTAGAATTTAAAGCATTACACATATGCACTAAAAAACCCCCAGCTGTTCAGGTCTTCAAAATCATAGCCTAGAAGTAGAGATTTTCATTCAGTTTTAAATATGGTAAAACAAATTTTAATGATGCCCACTGAGATTTGATATGTTGGTATCCAAGAATAAGACATTCCAAACCCGGTGATTTTGTTTTGTTTGAAAATAAGAAACGACCTCAATTTATGGTTCTGTTACTTTCAGTAGTTGTGATTTGATTTTGATGTTTGCCTGTCGCCTTACTCCAAGTGCTTTAGCTCTATCACAGTGAATTTGCTAAGCATTTCTTTTCTTGAATCTATGTGAGGTGTACATTTTCATCTGTATTTTGTGTACTCAATTGGATAATCATTCTGTAAATAATTAAAATATTTTCTGATAATACCTGTGTTCCTTACAATGAATTGACAGTTACTTAGCCAAAAAGTTCCCAGTTATGGGAAAGCCCTCCAGGGTGGTTCTTGACTCTTTTTTCCATATCATGAATTTGGAAATATATCTTGGCTTTAATATAAGGACTGCATGTTCTGGATTTCTGTTATTTATTATGAACTTTTGGAAGGTAATACTGTGCGATTTAGTGCTTATTTTCCTAATCCTATGAATTGTATGGTTTGCTTGTCTTTTTTTTTTTCAATGGAATGTGCCTTCCATTGGTTTTATAAATACTATAATAGAAAAATAGTGTCATTTATTCTGAAACTTGAATTGTGAGCACAAAACAGTTTACTCTGATTTTGTCTGTTTTTTAACTGAGTAAATGTTACATCATTAGCTGTCCTTGGAAAGCATTTACTGTGCTTCCAGACTTCTTTTGTTGCATGTTGAGTAGTTCATTGATTTTTCTTTCTTTTTTTTAAGTGCATGGATATCTGTGTATACAAAAAACAAACAAACAAACACACACTCCATGGTGTATAGTGTATCTCATGCCTGATGTACACTTTACGCTGGCTAGTACAAGACTTGTAGAGAACCTAGCTTGGGAACAAAACTTGCTGCATTATTTATCATCCCTTTTATGAAACTTGGTTAAGTGTTAATTCTTCAATAATGTTGGGATAATCCATTACAAATTATTAACACCTATTATACAGCATTGTATAACTCCAGACAGCAAATCTCACCTCTGACACATTTGCAAAAGGTTTTCTGAATGTAATATGTAAGTTTGGTGGCAGTTCTTGAAACTAACACTGTTGCTTTTACCATCAAAGTAACTATAAAGGTATTTTTATCACTTTGCCATGGTCTTCCATTTTGGTGGTTAACTGAGAGAAGCTGTGTCAAAGTCAAAAGTTGTACTGTTTCACAGAGTAGTGTCCAAACAAAAAAAAACTAGTTGAACCCCCCAAAGTGAATGACATTACATAAAAATGAGCTCTTCCACTGCCAAATCCACATCGCAGCAAGAGGATGGAGATGACTTATGGACACTTCTTTTTTTTTTTCCACCTTGGATATAGCTCAGTTAGTTGTCACCTTTGTGTACATGTATACTCGGCTACTGTTAAATTTTTTAACTAGAGGAAAGGTCCAAGAGGGTTATTGGATTCTTACTTGTAGCACAACTCTAAAGTAGACTTCATTTAATTGAATTGCTAGCTTATTGCTAGGGGTACATCTGCCCCACCCTGTGGTCTGATACAAGCTAACATTTGGGTACTTCATAGTTCTAAATGGAAGGCCTGCTTTCATGATGGTTAAGGCCTCTACATAGGGCAGAAATGTTAACAATACAAGGACTCTTACACCACCTAATTGCAGGTTTGTAAAGTGCAGGACAAAAGGTAGGCAGATGCAAAGCTCTGCAATGATTGATATCTGGGTTGCACTTTGATATGAAATAAGGAGACATCGATCATAGGATTGATATGAAATAAGAAACAATGCAGTACCGAACAGTGCTGCTTTCTTAAGAGAAGGAAGGAATCCTTGCGTTCGGCATGCATTCCAGGGCATTCAGGGAATCTATGTATCTTTTTAAAGGGATGCAGAAAAATGTGGGGTATTTAAAAATGTTGATAGAAGTGAAAACTCAAATTGTGACAACTGGAAAACAGACTTTCACGAATTTCACTAATCTTTTTGTTTGTTTTAAATTAACTTTGAGTGTTTGATAGCACTTTATGTGAAGTTGGTTTCACCTGCTTTGCTCTCGCAGCATTTTGGAAAGGTGTTTGTGGCATTGAGAGTTAGCCCTCAGGTTTTCTTCCCTTTCAGAAAAATTGATACAGTAACTTGAACATGTACAGGAACAGAAGCACACATTTTGAAATGTACCTAGATTTCCAGTCTAGTGTTCCTGTAAAGTTACAGAGAATTGGGGAGTATAGTTGTGGATTTTATGAATGAGCAATTCTGAAACTGGAGATCTGGTAAAGCAAGGGAGAGGTGGGAAGTAAATAGTATTGGTTTTTCCACCTTCAACTGTTGTACTGTATTGCACAGAATTAATCACCGTAAGCATTGGATGAAACTTATTCTGGGGTAGGGAATGATCTAGCAAAATAAGGTACAGAACAGATAAAAATGAATCTGTGATTCTTACCAGGGAAAGTCGCTTTTTAATTATTATTGGATACAAGATATGTACAGAAGTTTTTAAATTTCACTTAAAACCCCCCAAAAACCTTCTAAGCTGCATCTCATAGGGTCTCGAGGAAGAAAATTTCAGATGACAGTTGCTCTGACCACTGACCTGAAACACTGATTGAAGTTGTTTGCTTCAGAAGAGAACGTGGTGATTTAAAACCATGTAAGGAAGAGTGCAGTGATGCTCAGATTTCATATGCAGTTATTTATCTGGAAAGGTTAAATGCTTGTATTAAACTCTCATTAGCAAATTACAGGTAGACATCTTAATAGAAGGGGAACATTTCAGCTACTTTTAATGAAAGGGACCAGCATGGCATAGCAAATCCAGTGAGTTTCTTAAGATGTAATGAAAGGCAGTTTGGCTGTTGAGCATGATCTGTAGCAATGCCTGTCTGACTATGGTTTTTCATCTCATCCAAACCATCACCTTTGTCTCAGCACC